CAAACACACTGGCCTTAACAGCAGAGTCAGGGAGTTCTTCTCCTGAGTTTCCAATAATTGCTGCTTCTTTGACAGTGCTTGGATCTCATAACAACCTGTCTGAATGAAAGGGCTTTCTTTGAAAGTCGTTCTCCCACTTGTCACTCAGCCACCTCTGGCTGTGCAAAGAGCATCATTACTCAGCTCAAAATTCTCCCTGAGAGTCGTTTCACTGAAAAGTTGCTCACTCCTCTGGGATAAAGGAGAGTCAGGGTCACCCTAGAGAAGGTGTGATTGTCACCACAGCCCTAGTGACTCTCTAGTCTCACTAGAGCTCTAAGAATGAGCATCCCTTCCTTTGGGAGCCACTGGCTATTTACACTTGGTGAAAAGGCACCCAGTTATACTCCCATGTACTGACATTAGACTCTGACCCAGTAAAAATATCTAGGGTTTTCAATCACAAGTGAATCCTCTGATTCCTAGATGAAGCTGACTTGTAAGTACTGTGTCATAGGTTTTTACATTTTGTGAACTAAGACAGTCATGTTAATTTTATTTTGCCAAATAAGGATATTAAGTAAACTAATACCTTTTATTTCTATAATGTCATAAAAAGTCTATAAAGGACAGTTCCTTACATTGAATACATTTGGATCCATGAGTCTTATTTTTCTCAGTTCATTGAGGCTAAATAGAAGCTTGTCCAGGAACTGACTCTGGTCACTGGTCTTGAGTTTGGGAACCACTGTTTTATGAAACTTGTTAATTGAATTGAGGTATCCCTTGTGTTGTTGTTGTTAGGTGCCATTGAGTCAGCTCTGACTCATAGCGACCCTATGTACAACATGATAAAACACTGCCCAGTGCTGTGCTAGCTCCACAATCCTTGCTATATCTGAGCCCATCAGTGCAGCCATTGTGTCAATCCATCTTAATGAGGACCTTCCCCTTTTTCACTGACCCTCCACTTTGTTGTTGTTATGTGCATTGAGTTGGACCCGATTCATAGCGACCCCTCTTTGGGTTTCCGAGGCAGTATCACTACTGAAGTAAATTGCCCCATGTTCCTTCCAAGGATTGGCTGGTGGGTTTGAACCGCCAGCCTTCTGGTTAACAGTCAAGTGCTTTAGGCACTACGCTACCAGACCCTCCACTGGCTAATACTTTGAGAAGTGGATGACTCTTTACTTCTTCAGAGTCTGTCTTAGTCTGGAAGCTCCACTGAAACCTGTCCACCTGCTGAAATACCAACAGCAACATGCAAGCAACCACAGTATGAGAAACTGGCAGATGAGTGGGTTGTTGTTGGTGCTGGTAGTGTTAATTGCTGTTGAGTTGGCTTCAAGTCATTGCAATCTTATGTCTTACAGAACAAAACATTTTCTGACCATATGCCGCCTTCATGATTATTGGCATGTTTGAATCCATTATTGAGGATTTTCTTCATTTTTGCTAACCCTCTACTTGACCAAACATCATATCCTTTCCTGATTATTATTCTTTCTTGACAGTATGCTCAAAATGAATGAGCCAAAGTTTCACCATTCTTGCTTCTTGGGAAAATTCAGGTTGTATTTCTTCTAATACTGATTTGTTTATTTGTCTGGTAGTTCATAATGTATTCTGCATTCTTCACTACTACCACAGTTTGAATATAGTAATTCTTCTGTCTTCTATCCTTTTAACTTGAAAGAACTGAAGAAGGTCACAGTTCTGGTACCATTACCCCCTCCTCTTCAAATATATTTTAAAGATACATGCATACTTTAAAAATATATTTTAACAATACTCGCTAGTCAAATTTGAACAAATACATTGAATAATAATTTATTGTCTTGTATAATCCTCTAATAATTTCATATAAGGATATTTTATCTCTTCCAGCCAGATTGTACATATGTACCAGATGCTGGGTAAATAAAAAGTAGTGAATAACTAATGATTTAAATTTAATTTCAATAATACTGGTATGCTCTTTAGAGGATTGCAGGCAGTTCCTATTCATAAGTATGTGTATGTATTTGTTTTTATTTATTTTTGAAATTGTGCTTAAGAAGTTATTATAATTTTTCCCCCATCAGTTCTAGTTATATGGACATTCTTATAGCACATACAAATATGTATGTATAAATATCATCTGCCAACCTTATATATGGTCAGGGATATATTCCCTTTTGTCTAGACATACCTGATCATTCAGCCTGTCTACCCATCTATTTACCCATAGATTAATGTTTGTTATCACTGATAATGCAGTATTACATATGTAAAAGGGGTTATCTCCTGTGCACCTTTCTATGTCTTTCTTTTCCTTGGCATTATTGTGTTGGTCATTCACTTTTGTTATAATGCCTTTCCCTTCACCCAAATCAGTATTGTTTGCATTTTTGAGAATCTCTTGGAATCACTAATATGCATATTTATATAAATGAAAGACATGCATTTTCAAAGCATTAAACCATCTTTGTAAAAAAGAAAACAAGCTTTTGGAGCCAAGTCTCCATCTTTATCTCCATTTCCTAATGAGGCCAGGAAGATTAACTCCTTATCAAGCAGATATACTCCTGTATCTGCAGCATCTTTAAAGTATCTCATCATTTTTGATGATTGAGTAATAATGTAGGATGTGGCAAAGTTGGTGATGTTCTCCACAAAATATCAGAATTGTTTTTCATTTTAATATACTTTTTATTTAAAAAATCATAAAGTGTTCCTCAGAGTGACAGTTGAATTTCAGTATTTATGACTCTGTGATTACTCTAGCAATTTTTAAAAAATGAGCCCTCAAGTAAAATTTAAGTGCAAAAGATTAAAATTTAGAATTATGAACTTTTTTTTCATTTGAATAAATACTCACTTCTTGCCTGGAAGTTTTATGTGTCAACCCTAGTTTTCCTATATTTGACAATTCCTGAAAAAGTACTTAATTTCTTTCTTGAAAATATACGAATAGTTTTAGTTTTTGAAAATACACCCTTACGGATCAGCACAACTTTTCCCTTGGTTTATACACTTTATTTTTGACTATAAACCAAGGACACACACCACCCACTGAGCAAGTGAATGATTCAGGTTGCGGCACAAGCTATGGAGCACATGAGTAAATGGAAAACAATAAATAGCAGAGTGTTATTATATTTGGGATGTTCAAATTGAATATGATTTATTATGTCTGCATGGCTGACTTGTGATATGTGCTCAAAACTTTCATTCTTACAGATTGCTGTTGTTTGTTTGAGGGAGAGTCCTGATTCACATGTTAAGCTTGCATTATGTATTCTATGGATTAAGACTAAATTAAACAATTTCCTTGCCCAAGATGCAGTTTTTAAATCACTTTATGATTTTGTGATCAGTTTCTTTTCTTCAAATAGTGTATTTCTACAGCTACTTAGTAGAGAATGTTACATATGTCTAATTTATGTTTTTGGAGAGAAGAATAATGTGACTAATTTTCTTCAAGGTATATTTAATGTTAGCTCATTGCTATAAACTCTCACTGCTGTAATAAAGGTTATGGATGCATCTACAGAAAAATCAACATTGAGAAATGTCTCAGAAAGGGAACAAGGAAGATCTCTTCCCTACAAATGAATTACTATAAATGAACATTTTATTACATATCATTAACATGTTTAAATTTTAGTTACAATGTAAGATTCATAGAATTTTCTTATTTTAGTTTTTCCTGATGAATTAATTCTTTCAACAAATAATTATTGAGTGTTTACTATGCATTGTCCTAGGTACTGGGCATAGAGCTGCAAATAATACTGATAAAAAGCTTGTGGGATTGATGTTCGCATGACACTTTTTAAGCCAGATTTTTTAAAAAGCTTGTTATGTGATATTACTGAGTTTTATACAAAACACTTAAAGAGCTATATATGTTTCAGTCTTACTAGTTAAAACAAAACAAAACTAAAATGAATAATTTGGGATTGGACTCCTAGGGGCAGCATTGTGTAAAGGGATGTGGTAAAAAACAGAATAAACAACCCATCCCTCCTTTTTTTAAAAATACATTTAGCATCTAAGTAGTAGCAAGTACCTACTATGGTGAGTAAAACTGACCCAATCATGGAGAAAGGAACATGGAAAAATTAGAGAAATTATCGGGATTATCTGTTAATGTTGTGACTATGTTCTCAGCAACTCTGTAAATGTTTTCCAAACATGTATGAAAACATTCTAAAAGGCAGAAAAGCCACCTTGCAGTTGTCCAAAAGGAAGATTTTATTCAAAACAACATCGGAAAACAAAATTAGGTTTGGTCAATTTTGGAATTTTGAGAATAGAGTAAAATTTTAGAGCGCTGGCCCTAGTTACAAAGACGAAGAAGGTGGAGTTTGGACATCGACCTTTCTGCTTGGACCTTTCTCCATCTGACTTACTATGGATCCTGTTGTACTCCATGTAGTGAGAAAGGACTGGACATCTATTCAGAAGGACTGGGCTTATGCTTCTACTCTGTTGTTTTTCATCCGTGGAGTGAACAAGCTACCTTTCTAAGCCTCAGATTCCTTGTCTGCAAAATGAAGGTAAGGACACCAACTTTAGAAGATAAAACCAAACTCACTGCCATCTAATTGATTCCAACTCGCAGAGACCACATTGGGTTTACAAGGCTATAAATCTTTATGGAAGTAGATGGTCCCATCTTTCTCCTGTGGAACAGCTGGTAAGTTTGAATTATCTACTTTCAGGTTAACAGCCAAATACCTTATGCACTATGCCACCAGAACTCCTTACTTCAGAAGATAGTGGTGAATATTGAATATATGTGAAAATGCTTTGAAATAATCACTAAGAATTTGCATAGTTGTTAATGCTTCCTTCAGTAATGGAAATAAAACCCCTAAGAAACACAGGAATGCAGTATGTACTAAAGCTTACCAAATGGTGGGGTTTTTATTTTGATCAGGTGTTTCTGTCAGATTGTGACCATGTGTGAGGCTGATTGCTCTGCCTCTGGGAAGTTGTATCAAACCCAACTAATCTGACCCCCAATTACTCACTCTTGCCAGGCTGGTCCCAGATGGAACTTTATAAGGGACGTATTTCCTGTAGATATGACCAACTCTAGAACAGGGAACATCAAACATTTCTCCTCCACACATCCAAACCTAAGGAGAGGAAATTAAAAAAAAATATAACAAAAGAGAACAGTGAATTTCAGAACAGAAGATTATAGTTTAATCTTTTTATATTATAGATTATAATTATAGATTATAGATTATAATAAAAAAGAATTATTAGCAAGATTCAAACATTATCTTAAAACTTTGTTAAGTCTCCAAATCAGCATTTTTTTTCATAAATGTCTAACCAAGAAAGAAAACTACATTTTAGTCTAGATTCATAAAACTGTAGAACCAAAACACTAGTTCAGTAAAATTTTATTTCTGTAAACATCAAGTTGGCATTTTAAATTTTACTAGGGTTTTATTACAATTAATGCACTGTGACATCATTTAATGTTTAGATATTATTTTTTATATATACAGTTAATTGGTATTGATAACCTTGCTGTGAAAACATTTGAAGAAATAACATAAGAATGTAAAATTCCAATTTAAAATATAAAATGGAAAAAAAAGGAAAATCTAAAATAGGTGAATGAATTAAGGAAGATACATATGTTGTTGTTGTTGTTGTTTTGCCGTCGAGTCGGCCCCGACTCGTAGCGACCCCTCCTTGGGTTTCCGAGGCAGTATCACTACGGAAGTAGGATTGCCCAACCTTCCTTCCAAGGAGTGACTGGTGGGTTTGAACTGCCTGCCTTCTGGTTAGCAGTCAAGTGCCTTAGCCACTATGCTACCAGAGCTCCCACATATATATATATATAAATGCATACTGTAAGTTACATCTAGACTCTGAAACTTGTAGTAAAGCAGAATTTTAAAATCATAGTTGCATTCTAATATCTCCCCACTACCAATCTTTTCTTAGGAACAAATAATAATTGGTTAGTGATGTGACTCAGACAATACTATACTCAAGGTATGTGCTAAGATGTTGTACTTAAATATAGTAACAAAAATTAATTGGTTACATTGTACCATGAGTCCCCACTCAGACAGACACATCCTTAATCATGGTTTATGTAACAGATTTACTACTATAAAAGGAGTAACTGTCAAAAGATAAATTCAATCTTCATATAGGCTAGATATTTGTTGTTGTTGTTATGTGTCGTCAAGTCAGACTCGACTCATAGTGACCCCTCCTTGGGTTGCCAAGGCCATATCACTATGGAAATAGATTGTCCCATCTTCCTTCCAAGGAGTGGCTTGTGGGTTTGAACCGCCAGCCTTCTGGTTAGCAGTTGAGTGCCTTAGGCACTATGCTACCAAAGTTCCTAGGCTAGATATTTAGGTACTTTAATTGCCAGAAGATGATTTAAAAGAGTTAGATACACAGGTTGTTCCAAAGTACAATTATCCCTTGGTATCTGCGGGGGATTTGATCTAGGACTCCCACAGATACCAAAATCCAGATGCTCAAGTCCCTTAAATAAAATGGGAAAGTATTTCCATATAACCTACACACATATTTCCGTATACTTTAAATCATATTTATATTACTTATAATACCTAATACAATGTAAAACTTATAATACCTAATACAATGTATTATGTAGATAACACTTTACATTCCCCCTTAGCCTTTGAGGAAAATTACTTTGACCACTTAATTGCTTTTTTTCTCCCTTTCTCTTGAATATTTTAGATCCAGGGCTGGTTCAATCAGAGGATTTGAACTCCCGGATATGGAGAGCCCACTATATAATATTGAAAGAGAGAGAGAAATGTTTGTTTAAGCTTATATTTGCTTCTTTCTTCCTTTTGTAAATATATATATATTTTTTAAAATTTTGTTGTTGTTGAGAATATACACACAGAACACACATTAATTCAAATTTCTATACATACAATTCAATGACATTAATTGATTACATTCTTTGATTTGAGCAACCATTCTCAACCTCCTTTTCAGAGTTGTTCCGCTCCTATGAACATAAACCCACTGCCCCGTCACTCACTGTTGTCCAGTCAGATCAGACTCATAGCGACCCCTCTTTGGGTTTCCGAGGAAGTATCACTATGGAAGCAGATCGCCCAACCTTCCTTCTGAGAGGTTGCTATTTGATCTTTCAAGTTACTGTTGCCAATTTGATCTTATGTAGATACATCTGAAGATAATGCAATGCTCAAGGCAGACATTCTTTACTGGTTTAGCCAAACTGTTGTTTGTTTTTAAGATTTCAAGGGATATTTTTGGTTTAAAGTTTAAAGATTATTTCAGGTCAATAGTTTTGGGAGTACTTCCATGTTCTTTGACCAAGAGACATGATACTTCAGGTGAAACTGGTTGAATAAATAGTGATGGGGATATATGCAAGTCCAAGGGAAAGCAAAACAATTTCTAACAAATACTGAGTTGCTTTAAATGAATTCAGGATTTCTCATGGTATCAATTTCAATTTGATGGGATGTTTATTCATGATCTGGATCAAGACATTGGAAAAAATATGTGGATGATAAAAATCTTATAGGAACAGTGAACATCCTAAACTTCAGTGTCAATATCTGACTAGACCACTGCTGAGTGGCTGTAGCTATGTAAGACTAAGCATAAAAATGGTTAATATAAGGACCTATTCCAGAATCTGAAACAAGAAGAGGCAACTCTTCCAGAGCAGGATGGGCTGGGAAGAACTGAGGAACACAAAGTACCCATCACAAGCATGGTATGCAGAATTTGGGGAATAAGAGCCCCAATATATCTTCAGGTTGTAGTCTCAAGCTACTTTCTGTGTAAATTCTTTATATTCCTTTCTAAAAGGAATGAAGAAAATGATAAAGGTCTCCAAATATTTTATTAGAAAAGCCAACTGGAAAGAAACAAAAACAAAAACAAAAACAAAAACCCAAACTGAAGATGTCCAGTCTTAGTAAGATGGAATTCAGAGGAAGCCTATTCAAATACTTGAAGAGTCTGATATTCGGGACAAGACAATTCTGTCTTGGAAGAAGTACAGCCAAAATGCTCTTCAGAAACAAGAATGCCCAGACTTTGGCTCTTGTGCTTTCATCATGTTATCAGGAGGAACCAGTCTCTGAAGAAGGAGGTCATACTTGGTAAAGTCAGCAAAAAACGGGGAGACACTCAAGGAGATGGATTGACACAGTGGCTGCAACAGGGGGCTCAAGCATAGGAAGGATTGTGAATCCTCAGCTCAGGACTGGGCACTGCTTCATTCTGTTGCACATGAGGTCACTATGACTTGGAGCCAACTCAACTAACAATAACAACATTTGTGAGACATGTCTTATAGAACCTCAAGAAGACAGTTGTAGGATTAATAGGGCAGGCTATAAGGAGACAGCTTTGAAATCAGTGAAAGGAAGAACTTTCTAATAGACAATGAGCAAAGATGACATTGGCTTCCTATCATTGTATGTGTTCAAATCTGTAACAAATGACACTGGAGATAAAGACATAGCTTTGGATAAAGAATTAACTGATATTTTAAGATAATTTTAATAATAAGTGATTGTACTTAGGAATATTTTCTATGTATTTTTCAGGGGTTATTTCATTTAATTCTCATAAACCAATGACAGATGTTACTATTTCCCCAATTATATAGGTTAAAAAAAAAAAAAGTCAGTCTAGAGAGGTTAAGTAACTTGTCCAAAGGATATAATTGCCCATTCTCAGAACTGAGATTTGAATCCTACTATGAGTCCCTGGGTGGTACAAACGGTTAAGGCACTTGGCTGCTAACTAAAAGCTTATAGGTCTTCCAGAGCTGCCTCAGAAGAAAGCCCTGGTGATCTACTTCCAAAAAATCAGTCATTGAAAACACTATGAAGCACAGTTCTACTCTGACACACATGGTTTGCCATTTGTCAAGTTCACTATGAGTTGGAGTCAACTTGATGACATCTCGTTAGTTTGACTCAAGAACCACATGCTTAACCAACATTCTATATATTGTTGTTGTTGTTATGTGCCGTGGAGTCGGACCCGACTCATAGTGACCCCTCCTTGGGTTTCCGAGGCAGTATCGCTACGGAAGTAGATTGCCCCATCTTCCTTCCGAGGAGTGGTTGGTGGAGTGGTCAAGTGTCTTAGCCACTATGCTACCAGAGCTCTGTCTGTAAGAATCCAGATAATAAATATTTTTGGCTTTGAGGGCCAAACAGTTTATCTTGCAACTGCTCAATTCTGCCAAGAATAAGATTTAAAGTCTTTTCAAACACTGAAATCCAGTAACTCTAAGATAAGATATGTAAGCAATTCTATATTCTAAAATTGGATGATACATTATCTCTGATTGCACGTGCTCCTCCACAATGTGACGTTAGCATCTTCCATCAAGATATATTCCTTGTCCTTGAATTTGGGAAGTCTTTGTGGATTCTTAGAGTTCCTGAGTGGAGCAAATGGTAAAGTGCTTGACTATTAATGAAAAATTTGGTGGTTCTGTCTCAGAAGAAAGTCCTGGTGATCTACATGGAGCAGCTCTAGTCTGCACACACAGGGTTGCCATAAGCTGGAATTAATTCAGCCTCAAGTTTGGGATTTTTGATTTTGTGAATTCTAAGACTAGAAGAGTACAGGAAAGTGACTGATGCTAGGTTATAAATGGCAGTGCAACAACAGTTGGTCTCTATTCACCTGGAGCAAAAGAGAAGAAAGGAGAGTCAAGAATAGGAGGAGGATATGGAATATGTGGCTAATTGCCTCCATGAATAACTGCCTCTTTAGCTATGAGACCAAGGAGCTCTAGTGGTGTAACTGGGTAAGGAATTTGACTGCTAACCAGAAGGTTGCTGGTTCAAACCCACCAGCTGCTCTGCAGGAGGAAATGGAGGCAATCTACTTCCATAAAGATTTATAGCTTTGGAAACCCAGTAGCAGTTGTGATAAGTCAGAATGGACTCTATGGCAATGGGTTTGATTTGGTTTTATTTTTCTATGAGACCAGAAAGACTGGTTAGTGCCCAATGACATTACTGAACATTTTGATCAGTGTCCATGGAAGAATCCAGATCAAAAGGGGGAAAATGCAGAATAGATGTTCGAATACTAATGTGTTCTGTTCAAGGGCAAG